CCTGTCCTCAAGGACGTCCGTGTCAAGAGCACACTCACCCCCGACGGACGGAGGACAGACAGACTCAGACTCAGCAACTAGGCTAGCGGCGTAGTCTAGACGACAAGCGGCAGCAAAGTCGACAAGCTCAACAACTAAGGCAGACGCAGCAGTGGACTCAAAGGAAGGGTCAGTGACAACAGTAGCCAGGAGACGCGTGACAGTAGGACTGGTAGCACGAAGGGAGTCAGACTCAGGGTCAGCAAGAGCAGGAAGAGAGGACGCAGGAGGAGACGGGAGAGGGACACGCTGGGGAGCAGTGGAAGGACGAAGCGCCATCTGGTGAGTGCCTGGGACAGCAGGAGGACGCTGACGCGGGACACGACGACCAGTGTGAGCAGCACGTACAGGCGACGCTCGACGAGACTCAGGCGACACAGGACGAGACTCAGGCTCACGACGCTCCGTAAGACCTCCAGTTGGACCAGTGTAAGGAGAAGGACCAGGAAGAGGGGAGGCAGACGGTAACTGTGACTGCGACTGGACAGACGGAGGACACTCTAAGGAGGGAGGAGGACAAGGAGGAGGAGGCTGACCAAGAACCTGCTGAAGGAGCGGAACGAAGTACGGTCGCGGCCGCGCAGCGTCTCCAGAACCAGCAGAGACACCAGCGCCAGGGTCCTCAGCACCAGTAGCAGCACCACCTCCAGGGTCCTCAGCACCAGCAGCAGCTCCAACTCCAGGGTCAGCAGCACCAGCAGCAGCGCCGACTCCAGGGTCCGTAGCACCAGCAGCAGCTCCAACGCCCGGGTCCGCAGCACCAGCAGTAGCTCCAACGCCCGGGTCCTCAGCACCAGCAGCAGCTCCAACTCCAGGGTCCGCAGCACCAGTAGCACCTCCAGAAGAAGCAGTACCTCCAGCAGCTCCAGTAGCCCCAGCACCAGCAGCACCTCCAGCAGCTCCAGCAGCACCAGCAGTACCACCAGCAGCGCCAGAAGCACCGCCAACAGCAGCACCTCCAGCAGCTGGGTCCGCGACACTAGGAGCGCCACTCCGGAGACTGCAGCGCCGTGCGTACCACTCTCGGAGCCGCTGGGGAGAGGGCAGCTCCCGCCTAGGAGGGGAAGCACTAGCACCAGCTCCAGCCGCACTCCTAGCTCCAGAAGCACCTCTCCTGAGGCTGCAGTACTGTAAGTACCACTCACGCAGCTGCTGTGAGGAGAGAGCTCCTCCAGGTGTAGCACTCCCAGGCTCAGCACCTCCAGACTCAGCACCCCCAGACTCAGTACCCGCAGGCTCCGCACCCCCAGGCTCAGCACCCCCAGACTCCGCAACCCCAGGCTCCGCACCCCCAGGCTCCGCACCCTCAGGCTCAGCACCCCTAGCGGACGAGAGTCGACAGCTACCTCGACAGGCTCAACCGGGTCTACCTGGGACACACCTGAGGGAGCGGCACCCTGAGGGGGGAGGGGGTCTACCACAGCAGCACCTGGCGCGAGGAAGAGAGGCGGGAGGGGGAGCGGGGCAGTGCGGTAGGGGAAGAGGCGGTAATAGGGGACGGACTCGTCGAAAGTGACGTCCTGAGAAGGCAAGACACGGCGCGAGGTGGGGTGGTAAAACTGCCAACCAGACGCGTCCGGGACAAAGCCAAGGAAGACACAAGGAACAGCGCGGGAGGAGAGCTTGTCCGCAGACGTTTAGCGGACAAAAGCTCGAGATCCCCAGACTCGAAAGCCGCATCGCCAACCTCTCCCGTCCAACGCAGTGTCGGCGAAGTCTCCGGAACGGAGACACGGGGCCAGAGGTTGAGCTGATGCGCAGCGTATCGGACTGCAAACGGCCACAGAAATTTGGGGGCAGCCGCATGGATCAAGGAGGTACGAGCGACCTCCATGACCAAGCCAATGCGGCGCTCAGCAACCCCATTCTGCTGTGGAGAGGCCGGAAGCGTGAACGACTGGCGGATGCCGTGCTCCGCACAGTAGGCTGCCAAGAGATCGGAGGAGAACTCACCACCTCTGTCAGGGTGCAAGCGCAGGACAGGAAAGTCCGAGTGGAAACGCTCGCTGAGCTGGAGACGAGAAGCGCTGATCCAAGGGATCAAAACATCAGGGACCTCACCCTTGGTGCGCAAGGGGAAGACCGTGGTGTAGCGCGAGTAGTCGTCAACAACTATCAGGAAGTACCTCTCCTGACCCTGACCACGGACGCGGGCTGGGTCCCACACGTCCATGTGGAGCGTCTGCAAGGGAGCAGTCGTCGGGGGAAACGAGGAGGAGTGAGGAGCGGCGCGCTGCCGCCCCTCGACACAGGGAAGACAGGGAGGAGCAGGCGAGGGTGGGAGGGGAGGGAGAACCCTGGGAAGACCAGAGACAAGGTACCGTTTGTGCATGGCACGAAGGCGCTGCACGGACGGGTGACCAAGTCGGTGGTGCCAGAGGACGGTCTCGTGCGCCAGAGAGCGACACGAGCAGGGGGCCGACAGCTGACCTGACGCAGACACAGACGCAGCCACCTGAGGGGACGCAGTGGTCAGTGTGTACAGGTCCGACCCCGGCTGCCGAGTGAAGGTAGCCAGGTGGCTACCCGTCCGAGCGCACGTGCAGTGTGTCACGCGCTCGTAGGCAGGGGTGAACTGGTGAACACCCCCGTCCTAAAGCGCACAACCCGCCACCAAGTTCGTAGAGAACGAGGGGAGGTAGAGACCTGACAGCGTGCCCGACGGGACCGCAGGACAAGGGAGGACAGTGGAGGAGGTCGCAAGGACCGGACCCCCAGAGGGGTCAGCGAGGGAGACTGCAACCGGCCGAGCAAGCTGCTCAAGGGCCGTGCGGTCACGAAAGAAACAGCGGGAAGCACCGGAGTCCAGTGTGAAGGTGTGCAGTGCCGCAGTAGACGCAGTACCAGCAGGTGCGAACGCACGAGTACCTGGGGCAGCAGACTCACCAGCACCTAGAGCAGCAGCCTCACGAGGACCTAGGGCAGCAGACGCACTAGCACCTAGAGCGGCAGCCACACCAGTACCTAGAGCAGCAGACTGGATACCGGGGTCAGGCGGTACACACAGGGGACAGGCACTCTCAGTACTAGTAGACAATGCATACATGGCAGTGAGGATAGCATCAGAGTCAAGAGCAAAGATATCTACCCTCTGCCTAAGCAGCTCCACCCAGGAGGGGAGCTCAGCGGCGTCACCAAACTCTGTACGCCAAGCGTCGCCCAGACGGGCGAAGCAGTGGGACTCTGTGTGGCCACGGGTCCCGCAAGGCTGACTAGTCCGGACACCTGTGCGAATGACGTACGGGCAGCGAGCAGTACTCAGTGACCCTCTACTCTGAGCGTACCACTCACGGAGCTGCTGGGGCGAAAGAGGACACGGCAGCTGCACCTGTCCACTACCAGAAGCGCCCGAACGACCCACTCCAGAACGACTACCACTACGGCCACCCCGACAGCCCCAACTAGCGTACCACTCACGAAGCTGCTGGGGCGTGAGGGACTCACGCGCATGGCCCTGGAGCTGCATCTGGCCACGCCAGGAGCAGTAGTAGCAGCAGTAGCGGCAGTAACAGCAGTAACAGCAGGAGCAGTAGCAGTGGGAGTGGAAAAGGCAGTAGCAGCAGTAGCAGCGGTAGCAGTGCGGGCAGGGCAATGCTCACCAGTGGTCGGCGCGGCAGGCGCAAGACGGTGGCGACAGCGGGGCCGCTACAACTGCAGGGCGGGGCCTGGCCGCAGCAGGGAGCTCCGCAGCAGCTGCTGCAGGGCGGGGCCGGGCCGCGACGGCAGCTGCTCCAGGGGCCAGGGGCGGCTGCTGCAGTGGCGGCTGCTCCAGGGGCCAGGGGCGGCTGCTGCAGCAGCGGCTGCTCCAGGGGCCAGGGGCGGCTGCTGCAGGGGCGGCTGCTCCAGGGGCGAGGGGCGGCTCCTGCAGTGGCGGCTGCTCCAGTGGCCAGGGGCGGCTGCTGCAGGGGCTGCTGCTCCAGGAGCCAGGGGCGGCTGCTGCAGGGGAGGCTGCTCCAAAGGCCAGGCGCGGATTAGGTCAGGGCGACGCGGCGAGCAGGGGCGACGCCGCGGGCAGGTGACGACGCGGCGGGCAGGTGGCGACGCGGCGGGCAGGGCGACGCGGCGGGCAGGTGGCGACGCCGCGGGCAGGGCGACGCGGCGAGCAGGTGACGACGCCGCGAGCAGGGCGACGCGGCGGGCAGGTGGCGACGCCGCGGGCAGGGCTACGCGGCGAGCAGGTGACGACGCCGCGGGCAGGGCGACGCGGCGGGCGGGTGGCGACGCCGCGGACAGGTGGCGACGTCGCGGGTAGGCGACGACGCCGCGGGCAGGGGCTACGCCGCGGGCTGGTGACGACGCCGCGGGCAGGGCGACGCGGCGGGCGGCGAGAGCCTGCAGGGGCGGCGCGCGGTCGGGCAGAGGCTGCGCGCGGGCCTGACGGGTCTGCAGGGGCGGCTCTCGGGCCTGACGGGTCTGCAGGGGCGGCTCGAGGGCCTGACGGGTCTGCAGGGGCGGCTCTCAGGCCTGACGGGCCTGCAGAGGCGGCTTGGGGGGGGCCTGACGGGTCTGCAGAGGCGGCTCGGGGGCCTGACGGACCTGCAGGGGCGGCTCGAGGGCCGTACTAGCTTGTAGGAGGCAGCGCGAGGGCTACAGGACGGCACTCGGGCAGACCGAAGGGCGGGGCGCGCGAGGGCGCACGAGCAGAGAAAGGCGCACGAGGGCGCACGAGGGCGCACGAGGGCGCACGAGGGCGCACGAAGGCGCACGAGCAGAGAAAGGCGCACGAGGGCGCACGTAGGGTAGGGCGCACGAGGGCGCTTTTAGCGGAATAGTGGGCCCGTAGTAGAAAGCGGTCCTAGGTAGCAACCTAGGCTCGTGATACCATGTTAGAATCTAGAATAGAACGAGAATGGATGAAACTAGGTAGGAGGGGGATACAAGTAGGAAACCCTAACAAAGCTGTACCCCCTAAGGCTAAACCCACTATAGCCTACACAATATAAACATATAATGTTTGACACTCACCACCCTCTCACCACCCTTTCTTCCACTCCCTCTGTCGCCTTCATCCCCATCCTGCCACTGACCGTGCCACTCACAATTCCACTAACAATGCCACTCACAATGCCACTCACCGTGCCTCTCACCATGCCACTTACCGTGCCACTCACCGTGCCACTCACCGTGCCTCTCACCGTGCCACTCACCGTGCCACTCACCTTGCCACTCACCTTGCCACTCACAATGCCACTAACAATGCCACTCACAATGCCACTCACCGTGCCTCTCACCGTGCCACTCACCATGCCTCTCACCGTGCCACTCACCGTGTCTCTCACTGTGCCACTCACCGTGCCACTCACCTTGTCACTCGCCTTGCCACTGGTTGTCCCACTCTTCTTGCTGCTGGTCCTGCCGGAGCATGTGAGCTTGTGGGAGGGCCGGTGCGCCTTTTGGCACTCTCTGCTGCAATACGCCACCTTGCCACATGCAAAACAGTTCTTCAGCTTCACACCACCACCCTCAATCTTCCTGCACCCCACAACAGTGCACACATGCCCCCCAAAAGCAGCAGCAGTGGTGGTTGGAGCAGCACGGGAGGCAGGGCGGTAACACGGCTCCCCCAGCAGCATCTCTCGCAGACATGCCACCAGATTCACTCCCCACGGCCATGCCCTCATATAGGCCGCCTCCTCCCCCTCCTTGCCCTTCTGATTGCTATGGATGCTACTGCTGCTGCTGCCACATGCACTGGGAATCCCATCCCCGTGAAGCAGAGAGCGCTCATAGATCTCCGCCATTGCGTCCTTGCGTGCACTCGCATTACGCTCCTTCACCTCACTGCCACTGCACGCCACCCCGCCACCCCCGACACCAGCAACGGGCAGCGTTGCCACCATGGACCAGGATTGCACCTCCTCCAACACAACCCCGCAATCCCCTTCACCCCCCCGCCCACCTTGCCCTTCCCACAGGCTCCACTGCCTGCCTTCCTTCCCCCTGCTTTCTCTTTGGCCCCACAGCTCCCCCCTCCACCCCTCGAATTCCACCCCCCTCTGCTGCAGGAGAGGCGTGGCGCAGAGCAGCGCCAGGCTGAGCAGCAAGGCAACTGGCACCTGCTCTGCCCGTTCTCGTAGCGCGTGCACGCTGCTGCTGCTACTTCTCCGCTTGCCACGAGGGCCGTCAGGCGGATCTTCCAGGCCCAGGCAGGAGAGAAGATTTTCAAAATGCTGTGAGTGGGGCTGGAAGATGGAGAGAAAGCAGTCGAGGAGGACAGTGGCGGGGCGATAGGCGAAGTTGGCGATGAAGGTGACGAAGGGGACGTATGAGATGTAGGTGCGGATGCAGCGGCTGCAGTGGGCGCATGCGGGTGCCTCCAACAACAAACTGGCGAACTCCACCAGCAAGTCCGCATCTGCCCTGCACCGCACGATTGGACGGCACTCCCTGCTTCGCGCTGACGACACTTGTCTCGTGGGAGATTGTTGGACGCTTCCATGCTGAGTTGTCACACACCCACCGTTCCTGCTACCCTGCATGCCATCCACCTTGCCCAGCCCAAAACATCTGGCATTGGAGTCGTCGGGAAATATCACAGTAGCTTCGTCCCCCTCAGGCCACTCCTCCCATTCTGCATGGGGGCTGCTTCCATCCAAAGGGGGGAGAACAGTGCCGAACCGGAGCAGCAGGCTTGGAAGTTCCCGAAGCGGGTGGCGCATGGGCAGGACCTTGCCCTGTGAGTTTTCTTTGAAGCACATCTTGGCTGAGATAAAATCTGAGCCATAGATCTGAAGCCACTGCAGGATGCGAGCAACCCGGTAGGTGAGGAGGCCAACAGTGGGGTCTGTGTTGACCGGCTCATGGCCCCAATCCAACGCCCCGTTGCCAGCGTCACGCAGCGAACTGCTGGCGACAGAAGCGCTGCTGCCATGAGAAGTGCTGGCTCTAGCTAGTGCCCCTCCCTCCTTCACCCCTGTCGCCAGCCCTCGCTTCCTCAGTTTCTCCCTGGCTGCCTCAATGGCTGCATCCTGCACGGTGCTGCTGGCACGCGTAGACCCCCCCGAAGAACATGGCGCCCAGCTTGCGGTGCTCTGCCCGTGAGAACACTGACGCCACTGCCACGGCCAAGTCACTCGCACCCACGTCTCTCACATACACGCCCCTGGGAATATTCTTGCCTTCTGCCTTGCTGCGGCCATGGCTACTTTTGCTGCTACTGCTGCCCTTCTCACCACAACGGCTGCACCGGAACTCCCTCCCTTCCCCCCCACCATGCTCCAGAATCCAAGCCATGCCATCCACATACCTCTCCCACACAGGCCCCTTCAGGTTCTTCCTCCATTGCCCATCCGTGCTCTCCCTGCCACCACCACCATCACCACCGTCGTTCGCCAGAGCACGTGCAACATCACTGGCACGGCCCAGCAGGTTGCCCAGGTCCATGCCCAGCTCGTCCATGATGTGCGCATAGTCCTCCGGCCCCATGCACTCGCCGCTCTCCACCCGCCGCCTCACCACCTCCATTGCATGCCTCATCTGCCCCATCTGCCCCGTCTGCAACATCTGACCCATCTGCCCAATCAGACCCATCTGCCCCATCTGCCCCACACTTCCCACACCCTTCTTCCTGTTGTGCCAAAGCACTATAGTGGCACGGTCATCGCACTCCCATTCAGCCTATAAGCCTGCTCAGCTTCTGGAATTGTGTGGGGAGGTGCATCAACATGTGTTCTTTAAACCCTCAAAGTTTCAGAGTTTTTGAAGCAGTTTACAATGCATGGCAACATTTTTAGTTTCAAGACTTATGGCATCCCGGAAGTGTGTGTTACTCTTTTTTGGTAACACCCGACTTCACCATTTCGGCTGCTGACTCATCTACCAAACTCTGATTGGTCTGAAAATCGGTTTGGCAGTCCTTTGCCGTGTTGTGCAGGTGGTCACCGAGTTTCAAGACAACCCAGAATCGGATCAGCACGTGACAACTGTCGAAATTTACTGTTCCGTAGTCATGGTGCACTGTTGGCAGCATTTCCCTTGCCACCCTTTCATTGTTGTCATGCCAATGGTGCAGGGACAGAGAATGAGACAAGAAGTACATGTGGTCATGTGGGACTCTACCACCCTCCTTTTGAGAAGTGTGGTCTTCCTGGAAGCAGCTTGCAAGGGGGTGCAAGTGGGAAGACAAGCTGACTCATGATTGGCTTGACTCACTATTGGTAGCCTTGAGTACAGTTCTGAACATCCAAGTGTGGTTGGCTTTGCTTACCTAGCTACGACGTTTCCCATCCTTCTCCAGCCTTTCTCCCCTAGGACTCAACCTTCTCTGCATTCCCAGGATGGTCCCAACCCCTTAAGAGTCCCCTAGGCAATGTTGTACTCACCTCTTCCTTGCATCAATGAAACTACACGTTTTCAGCCGAGCTTACGTTTTTGTTCACTGCGTAGCGCATACACTTTTGATGAAAGCAAGCCATATACTGTTGGAAAGCAGAAACCTGAAGCTAACTTCTGTCCAAGTTTCAGCTTCGTATGTTATTGGAGCTGATCTTGACGGCGTTTTGAACAGAGGCGGTTCGAAGTCATTAGATTCTGCTTAGGTGGTTTCATGGGCATCCGCGACCCCTAAGTGGATTCTAGACTATAACACTTCCCGCTTCCTCCCTTTCCCTCCCCTCGCGCTTTCTCAGCAGCCTGCTCTCCACCTCCCCTCGTCCCCCTCTCTGCATGCGCCTTCTCAAGCCCGCCTGCCAGCACGTGCTACACAAAGAACCCAAACCCTTCCTGCAGGTCAGCACGCTCCTTCACCCCCAGCACCAGCACCAGCACGGAAGTAGCACGGTCATTCACCTGCTGCCGGCCCGTCCCCTGCTGGCTTTCTAGAGCCGGGTAGACCGCGTCGTATATATCCACGTCAGCCTTCCACATGGTGTCAATGCGCGGCCACCTCGCCACAAGCACGAGGAAGGCAACAAAGATGACAGCGTGGCGGTAGGCCGCCCAGCAGCTGCTGCAGCGCCAGCAGCGGGACCACGCTGCAGCAGCACAAGGGATGGCAGCAGCAGCAGATGCAACAGAAAGAGACGCAGGAGGGGAATCCCCAACACAAGGTGAAGTGGTAAGAATGGCGGGCAGGTGGTAGCAGATGCAATTCAGGTCCATGAGCACACCCACACGCGGCTCAGCCATCCAGTCGAGCAGCACGGCTTCCACACACACAAAAGGAGCCAGAGCACACTTGCACAAGAATTGAGTCCAAGACGATGCCCCCTCGCCCCGCTCCCCGAACGCCTGCACGCGCGCCGAGAACTTCACCACACCTTTGCTCACTCCACTGCGCCGCGGCGCCAAGGGGGTGGCGTCAGGCAGCTGCTTGTGCAGGCGGGATCGGAGGAACGTGAGGCTCTGCATGGTGACAGCGCGCTCGTCGCCCAAGCTGAGGGCGCGGTCAAAGCAGCAATCGCACTCCTTCAGATCCCACCCGCCCCTCACTTCCAAGTAGTGAACCATGTCCTCCCGACACACCAGCTGGCGCGTCCCTGCTACTTGCTCACCGCCCACTCTCGCTGAACCCCTGGCTTTCGCTGCAGATGCCTTGTGGGCTCCAATCGGCAGCTGTGGGGGCCCATACCGCCTCATCATCTCCTCATGACCGCGCCAAATTGCCTCCTTCAGTTCCGACAAGCCCGACCCACCGGTCCCGGCATGATTCAAGGGCATTGACTTTCTTCCAGCACCACTCCCTGGCGTGTCTCTGTGCCGCGGCGCACGCTCCTCGTCGTCCTGCTCGCCCTCGTCGCGGCTAGAGCCTATGTGGTCCCACTTGCTGTAGTCGATCCCGCGCCACCTCGTCCCCGCAGCAGCAGGTGCAGCACCAGCAGGTGCAACAGCAGCAGGTGCAGCAGTAACAGGTGCAGCAGCAGCGGGTGTAGCAGAAGCGGGTGTAGCAGCAGCGGGTGTAGCAGCAGAGAGAGCAACGGGAGGAGGAAGAGGAGTGGTAGCTACAGCAGGAACCACAGCAGCAAGTAGGGCGACGGCGGGAGAAGCAGCTAGAAATGCCGGACGCATGTCCGCAGCAGGCGGAGGAGCTGAAGCACTCACACCATCTTGACCTCCGTCCTTGCTTGTTCTCTTGCCCTCTCCACGCACTACCTTCACGGGAAGCACCTTGATGGTCACGCCCGGCTTCAGCTGCGCGTGCTGCACGGTGCAGTCGGGTGACAGACACACCACCTGCCCCACCACCATGAACCGCACCACCTGCGTCCCACGCACCGCCGACTCATCACTTTCCTCACCGCCTTCCACGCCATTGTTGCCTCCCTACTCCAAGCGCGCTGCCTCACTCAGAGGCTCCACGGTTCCCAACGGCGCCTGGCATGCATCGCATGGCAGACAGCAATCGGGCAGGTGCGAGCGGAACAGTCTGTTGAACACCGATCGGAGAGACTCCTCGGGAGAGGTGGCGACGTAGACGTCCACGTGGGACGATACCAATGGATTATCGCCACATCACCTGTCACTGCTGTGATGGTCGTCGGCGGATCCTTGGGGAACCAAGCCTCTGGGAATCCGAAACCGAATCTCAAGCGCCATACTTGCGCTCAAGGTAACGTCGAATGAAATCAATCACCAGATCACTAAAAAAAAAAAAAGCAAAGTCGCTCTCTTCGCACCATATTGTGTCCTCCACGTGTGCCTGGCCTTCGCTGTGGAATGCCGCCAGCTGAGCTGAATGGGCAGCAGCAGCACCACGATAGGGTGCTACGACTGCATGTTCTTTGCTTGTGTGCCCGTCGAAGCGCCCCGGGGGCCTGTGCGCCGCCCTTCCCGTCGCCCGCCGCGGCGCCCTGGGGGCCCGCGCGTCGCCCCTCCCTCTCGTCGCCCGTCGAAGCGCCCCGGGGGGGCTGCGCGCCGCCTTTCCCGTCGCCCGTCGCAGCGCCCCAGGGACCCGTGCGCCACCTGCGTTTAGGGTATGGGGTGGCGGGTGTGTGCGCCGTCCCCTGCTCCTCCTCCTCCTCCGTCTCCCACTGCTGCAGCTGCCGCTGAGGGGGGTGGGTGTGTGGGAGCCGAAGGAGTGGTGCTAGGGGGGTGTCGTGGGAGTGAAGCTAGGGGTGCAGCAAGGGGTGTGTGAACGGGAGTTTTGGGACAAAGGGGGAGGTTGAAGGGGGTGGGCCGCCGTGAAGCCAGCAGCTCCAGTCGCCCGTGAGCCCGTCGCTCCAGTCGCCCATGAGCCCGTCGCTCCAGTCACCCGAGAGTTAGTTGCTCCTACCGCTCGTCTAGCCGCGGAGCCAGTTACTCCAGTTGCCCGTGTGCCAGTTGCTCCAGTTGCCAGTGTGCCAGTTGCTCCAGTTGCCCGTGTGCCAGTTGCTCCAGTTGCGCAGTGTGCCAGCAGCTTCAGCTGCCACCCACTACCTCCTCTCCTCTAATAGTCCCTCCTCCTCACTAGCCCTCTGTGATAGCCTCTAGCTTTGCTTATATTTGTAAACAATGAATTGCTGCTTGTTGTGCTGATCATATCCCACTTTGACTATAGGGGTGTGTCAGAATGTGTAGTTTGTCTAGCCTGCAGTGGGGTACTCTATAGTGAGTACGGCCCCTTAAGGTTTCCTATATGTATCCACATGCTTGCTAGTGCAATCCCTCCTTTCCCTTTTCTCTCTTGCCTAGCTAGCTAAACCCTAGCTATGGCTCCTCGTTCTGCCTGCTATTGTGACAGAAGGGCCTCATGCACCATGTGTGACGGAGTCAGAGTGATGGTGCGAGCTGCTCTATCCCTGGTGATCTGCAGGCCAAGGTAGTGGCGCAGATCACCAAGGTCAGTGCACGTGTGTCTCTTCTGTAGTTCGGCCTTCACCTCAGCCAGAACTCTGCTGTAGTGGCAAAGACCAGGTCGTCCACGTACACAAGAACAAAGAAAGGTGAGGGCCCACGACAAACAAACAGCGATGGGTCGGCAGTAGACGGCTCAAAATCGAGGTTAGACAGTGTAGAGCGAAGAGTGTTGTGCCACTCACGGAGTGCTTGGCGAAGACCGTAGACTGGTCGTCTTAGTCTCTACTGGGTCCCTGGTGGGAAGGTGCCAGTGAAGCCAGAGTCGAGAGAGGCATCCATGTGTAGGCTAACCTAAAGAAAGGCAGTGGAAAAGTCGAGAGAGAGTGTAGCTCGTAGTCTCTCTGCGCTGCTATTTGAAGTAACACCCAAAGAGTGGCCATTTTTGGGGTAGGCACAAAGTTTTGAAAGAAGTCAACTCCCTCGCGCTGACTGAAACCTCTAGCTACGTAGCGCGCCTTGAAGACCAGAGGAGATCCCAGTGGCCGCTTCACCTTGAAGATCCACATGCATCGACTACGTTCGCTCCCCGAGGGAGAACCTCGTCGACGTAGGTGCCTGTGGATCTGTTGGAGGCCATCTCTGCGTCCATGGCAGCTCTCCACTGAGAGGCCCAAGGCCCTGACATTGCCTCAGCGTAAATGCGAGGAGTCGGTATGTTAAGGGCGTCGAGGTCTCCCTCAGGGGTGAGGGGCATGGCACAGAGACGAGGCGAAGTGGCTGCCAAGAACTCTAGCTCAAACTGCCTGTCCTCTAGGGCATCACAGCCAAGGGCAGACTCACCCCCGACGGACAGAGGACGAGTAGGAGGAGCAGCCACTACACGAGTGGCTTAGCCAAGGCGGCGAGTAGTTGCGAAGTCAGTGACAGCAGCAGTAAGAGCTGAGACAGAGGACAGAGAGGGACGAGGGTCCGTAACAACGGAGGTGAGAACACGAGAGAGAACAGGACGGTACGTGTGGACAACGGACACTGGCCTAGTGATAGTGAGCTCGCTAGGGTGCTTCAGCAGAAGCGCATTGCGAAAATTGGCAAGGCGGTCAGGGAGGCTAGTGACGATAAACAAAATAGTGATCGCCATAGGTGGGGGAAGCAGTGCAAGCTGTGCGTCGGTACAGGCAGCGCGGTAGCTCAAGTCTAGTGAACGAAGGTGAGTGATCAAGTCAGCAGAGTGCTCAAAGGAGGCAAGGTCAGGAAACAGGAACAGGAGGAACAGGTGACCAAGTGAGACAGTGGTGAAAGTGGACTAGCGGGCCTTAATCGCAGTAGGGAACTTGCTAGCAGAGCAAACCTGGGTGAAGTGCGCCTCCCCAGACTCATGAAGGAGGCTGCTGAGGGCGATGCAGGCTGCTGCGTCGCGAGACTTCCAAGCTGTAAGGGCAGCCCGCTCCCGTGCAAAGCGCTCCCTGTCTACAACAGTGGGGTCAGTGCCTAGTGCAGCCGGGGCCGGCGGCGCAGTGGGGTCACCGGAGGCGTGTGCTCGGAGGGTCTCGTAAGCGTCACACTGACTCTCTAGTAGGCGCTGCGCACGAAGAAGCCAGACTAAGAACTCCAGGGGTCTACCCTCAGCATCGAAGTGGAGAACTCTAGGGGCCGCCATAGCTAACTAGGTAAAAGGGGAGATGCGGCTGCCAGCCGCCGAGAAAGTCTGAACAGGGCGGGCAGGCTGCGCACAACGGGCAAGGCGCTTTTCGCAGCCGGGACGGGCGCGACACGGCAGTCCGCGGATGCGGGCGCGGGCGCAACGGGCAGGGCGCTGGGCACGGGCGGAACGGGCGGGGCGCTAAGGGCGCGAACGGGCAGGGCGCAAGGGGCGCGGACGCGCAGGGCGTTGACGGGCAGGGCGCGACGGGCAGGGCGCTACGAGCGCAGACGGGCAGGGCGCTACGGGCGTGGACGGTCAGGGTGCAGGGAGAACGGACGCGCAGGGCACTGAAGGGCAGGGCGCCGGGCGGGACGGTTAGGGCGTTACGGGCGCGACGGGCAGAGCACAACGAGCGCGACGGGCAGGGCACGACGGGCACAACGGGCAGGGCGCTACGGGCGCGGACGGCAGGGCGCACAGAGCGCGGACGCGTAGGGCGCTGACGGGCAGGGCACATGGTGCGACGGTCAGGGCAATAAGAGCGCGACGGGCGAGGCGCTACGGGCGCAGGGAGTGCGGACACGTAGGGCGCTGACGAGCAGGGTGCAGGGCACGACAATCAGGGCATTACGGGCGCGACGGGCAGGGCGCTACGGGCGCGGACGGCAAGGCGCAGAGAGCGCAGACGCGCAGGGCGCCGACGGGCAGGACGCAGGGCGCGACGGTCAGGGCACTAAGAGCGCGACGGGCGAGGCGCTACGGGCACGGACGGGCAGGGCGTAGGGAGTGCGGACGCGAAGGGCGCTGACGGGCAGGGTGCAGGGCACGACAGTCAGGGCATTACGGGCGCGATGGGCAGGGCGCAACGGCAGGGCGCTACGGGCGGTACGGGCGTTGCGCAACGGGCGCGACGGGCAGGGCGCAGATCCTAGTCTAACCTAACTGATACCACCTTAGATGGGAAAGAATGTGTCATTAGAATCAGTTGGGGTACATATAACAAACCCTGAAGTTTGTATCCCACATGATATGCCTCACTACTGTCTACCACATTTGACACCGAGGCCTACCCTCAAACAAATCTAAGGGTCTAAATGAGATGTACAATTTGGTGAGTTTAAATTATATTTATGTATTTGTGGTTATATAAGCACATGCGCTCACAAATTCTACTCAATTATGAGCGCACCCCTTTAAAACACATTTTATTATAGGCGCACCTGCGCGGCCATACGGGTGTCACTTGTGAGACATCAGGTCATCGCCGCTTAGTCTCCAATATCCGCCGTTAATGCCTAATTCA